CCCAGGTGAGGCTGGGGTAAGCCCAGGGCTGGCCCAATCTCCAGCCCGTCCTCCCTCCAGAGGTAACAGTGGCCTCTGGCTTGGTGGCATCCTCACGCCTGTTTGGCACCCGAGGCACACCCGCTCTGGACTTACCTGCTCGCTGCTGAGGCAGGGCCTGGAGGGAGGCAGGCAGCGCGCCGAGCCTCCGTGCCTCCGGTGGTTTTCGGTTTGCAGCAGAGGACCTGCAGTGGGGCCAGGGGTGAGGGGCACAAGGCTGCTGCTGGGAGGGGCCGAGCAGGAACTACTAGGAGGCAGACTTCCTGGGCCAGGATGCCCCAGGCACCGCAGTGTCTTCTTCCCAGGATGGCAGTGAAAGGGAACCAGACCCAGCAGGATGGGGCCCAGGCCCAGGGAGAGCAAAGGCACCCATGGCAGCGAGAGGAGGATCCTTGTCAAATAGAGCAGTAGGGTGGAGCTCGCTCAGCAGAAATCATCTCAGGTGGTTTCAGGTGTTCAAGTCCCCTAATCACCATGTCACACGTGAAATGAGAAAGGCGTAAAAGGCACCTCCAGTGCCATCAGATTCTCCGGGGTGGAGGGCAGTGTTGGGGGAGAAGCCTGAACATGGAGATTTGTCAGCTTCTGTGGTGCAGACTCCCTCCATTGCGCAGAGGTGGGAGGAGAGGCACAGAATCCCACTATACAGCATTTCCACCACCCAGGTACCATTATGCATCAATAACCCCGAGCACAGGCAATAATACTGTAACAGGAAACAGCTGCCTTTGCTTTTTATAGAATTTATTTAATCGTGTTTATATAATTCAATTTTTAATAGTTGTGTTGAACAGCCAGCTAGCAAAATTCCTGACAGCTGAATAGCTGGCTCTTGTTCCTGGGGCCAGCAGAGCCTACTCCAGCAGCCCAGACCTCACCTGGGCCCAGACGTGGTCAAACCGGTCCTTGTGACGTAGATGTCCACTTGCCAGTACCAGGCAACTCCAGGACAGCTTGGACCACCCGCCCGCCAAGGTGCGGTCTTTGGCTTTCTCTCTGGGTTTGGCAGCAATAGAAAGTTTGGCATCTCATTCTTTGCTACCCTACAGAGCAGCTTCCTGAAGAACCGCTGAGGTCACTGCTGGGAGGAAGACCTGTTCTGCGGTGGGGCGTTAGGGCCGCTCCAGGCCTCCCTCCCTCCAGTGGGAATCCGGGCTCACAGCTGAGGGCTGTGCACAGGTCCAGCTTTGCCCAGGGCCCATGGTAACCAATATGCCTCCTGGACCCAGGTGTCTATCAGTGTCTGTCACTGGGCTACAGACACTGCCAGAGCTCCGTGGGCAGCCTCGAGCCCTGCCTCGCCTGGAGCCTCACCTGAGGCAACCACGACTCCGACCTCTCCCACCAGTTTCCTGTTCTTGAAGTTGGCATAAATAGACCCGCACTTCGCTGCTTTGGCCCCGCCGCGTTTGTGCGCCAGTGGTGCTGGGTGTAGCAGCGTCCCATTGTACGATGGCCGCACCAACCTGCCCATTCCCCTGTGGACGGACACGGGTTGTTTCTAGTGGGAGGCTGAAGCCGGTATGAAGATACCTGCACACCACACGCATGCGTGGCAGTAAGGCCCCGTCACAGGCACTACAGTATCAGCTTTAGTAAATGCTCCCACCGCGGCCGTACCAGTCCCCGCAGCCACCAGCAGATGGAAGTCCAGTGCTCCACATCCTAACGCTTGGTACGCTCAGTCTTTTATGATTTCAGCCATCCTGGTGGACATCTGGTGGTGTCTCACTGCGGCTTTAATTTGTATGTCCCTCATGATGGATACTGAGCAAACTTGGCTATCAAAATGCCAATAAACCATCTGAATATTTGTGAAGTGCCTAACCAAATCTTTTGCTCATTTCTAAACAATTATCTTTTTCTTACAGGAATGTGACAGTTGTTTTGGGAATCCTTCGCTGGATTTCTTCCACTTCCTGGCCGGGCTTTTCACTCAACGGTAACTTGACTTAGAATTCTCCATTGTAATGACAATTTATCAGACTTTTATCCTTACAGGTAGTGCCTTTTGCATCCTAACCAACCTTTGCCGGTTCCAAGGCCAGGAAGACTGTTCTCTGTAGAACTTTATTACTTTACTTTTCATAGTTAAGACCAGGATCCGTTTGGAGCTCATGTTTATGTATGAAGGGAGGTTGAGGTTCATTTTTTTCCATTTGTACATTCCAAACTATTACTCTTAATGTAGTTAAAAGCTTTTTTTCAGATTACTGATGGCTGTCTCCTTAGGATTTTGTCGTTTACTAGTGCTATTTAATTCCTGATAACATTTTGGTTTTGGTTTTTCCTTTTCTGCCACTTTTAAAGGGGAGATGGGAAGAGGCAGTATAACCTGGAGCAACACTGGAGTGACAGAACAGTTCTCACCCCAACCTGGGGAGCTGGGCTCTCGCCTTTTCCACAACACGCTCCAGTACAATCCCCCCC